GTGTGTGTGTGTGTGTGTGTGTGTGTGTGTGTGTGGTCCGGTGGTGGCGTGAGTGTGGGGGTGACTGGAGAAGGCCCTGGTCCTGGAGCCTCGGGCAGCAGCGATTCGTTCGGGAGGGGTAGGATGGGTCACGAGAAACCACAGATGGGAATGAAGAGCCGTGTATCTACTTGGCGTTGTCCTTCTAAGTTCCAGATCAGCGCTGCCTGTGCCCTGGAGACCTGCTCTGCATCCTGCTGGAGGTGGCCGGCCCTCGAGAGCCCTGGTAGGTGGCCCGTTCCAGAGCCCTTCCTCTGATCCCGGTCCACCTCTCCTGGGCTGGTAGAAGCAGACAGTCGCCAGGATGCCAAGGAACCAGGGCTTTTCGGAGCCCGAGTACTCGGCTGAGTACTCCGCCGAATACTCGGTCAGCCTGCCCTCTGACCCCGACCGCGGGGTGGGCCGGACCCATGAAATCTCTGTCCGGAACTCGGGATCCTGCCTCTGCCTGCCTCGATTCATGCGGCTGACCTTCGTGCCCGAGTCCTTGGAGAATTTGTACCAGACCTACTTCAAACGGCAGCGCCATGAGACGCTGCTGGTGCTGGTGGTGTTTGCGGCCCTCTTCGACTGCTACGTGGTGGTCATGTGCGCGGTGGTCTACTCCAGCGACAAGCTGGCTCCCCTGGTCGTCGCTGGGATGGGACTGCTGTTGGACATCCTCCTCTTCGTGCTCTGCAAAAAGGGGCTTCTCCCCGACCGTGTCACCCGGAAAGTGGTGCCCTACCTGCTGTGGCTGCTGATAACTGCCCAGATTTTCTCCTACCTGGGCCTGAACTTTGCCCGCGCGCATGCGGCCAGCGACACGGTGGGCTGGCAGACCTTCTTTGTCTTCTCCTTCTTCATCACGCTGCCCCTCAGCCTCAGCCCCATCGTCGTCATCTCCGTGGTCTCCTGTGTTGTGCACACACTCGTCTTGGGGGTCACCGTGGCCCAGCAGCAGCAGGATGGCCTGAAAGGCAGGCACTTGCTGAGGGAGGTGAGTCCCGCCTTGAGTCCCACCCAGGGGCTTCCCTTCCCACCAGCTCTCCTGCAAGGTGGTACCAGTTTCAAAGGTGGGATGGCATTGTTGTCTTTGCCCTTGAGTCAACATATGTTGGGGGAGTGCCTCCGGGGCTCTGGGCTGCTTGTACAGAAAGACCGTCTCTCTCTCAACCTCTGGAGTTTCTCTGGAGCTTCTCTGTGCTTGGCCTGAGGGAGTGGAGGATGTCAGGACATTGGGCCTCAGGGCCACTCTGTCACCCGTGTCCAGCCCAGGTGGGCAGCAGGAAGGCCCACTAGGCCTGGTTCCAAGGCAGCGTCGTCCTGGTCATTGCTTCTGTCCTTGATCTCCAACAAAAAGACCTCTTATGGGGAAGGGGAGGGTTCCCTTAGCCTCTGGTCTCCAGCCTGTCCTTGACTAGCTTCAGCAGTTGACTGACTTGTGTGGACTCAGTGCCCCTCTGTCGGATGGGGACCGTATGGCTGCATAAGTGGTTGTTTTCAAGATCAGAGGGCATGTGGGCGAAGATGCCCTGGGAAACACAAAGGCGTGATGGTCCTAGATCCTGCATCTGCCGCTGGGAGCTCACGGTGTGTAGAGCAGTTGGAAGGTGTGGGGACGTACATGGGGACAGTCGTGCTGGCCATGGTAGTGGAGGGTCTGCTAGTTCTTTGAGGACGCGTTCTGCTGGAAGGGGTGGAGTTTGGGCCACCACTTAACTAATCGCTCCTGGGAGGTGTGATTCTCAGCATCTGAGTTTATCTACTAACCCATCTGGAGGAGCCTGCAGGGCTTAATGAGTTCCACAGTCTTGTGCCCTACCTGCTGCCTCCTTTATTCGTGAGCCCAGAGATGGAAAGTGCCCTGTTCGAGGCTGCATAAGTAGTTACAGTGATCACATGCCTGGAGCGTCCATTTCTCGATTCCGGTTCCAGTGCTCTTCCTCCTATGTCATGATGCTGGCTACATCTCTGCCAAAGCCATTATCATGGTCTCTTGGGCTTGAGAGCTGAGTCTCCATGGGCCCAGCAGTGCCATAGGGGTTGATGTAAGAACCCCAGGGAGCCGTCCCATTGCCTCCCACTTGGTTAGAGGAAAACACAGGTTTTCTGTTTTAACTTTTTCCTGCTCATGCAGGGTCCTCTCTCAGGAAGCCTTGTGCGTTCTGCAGGAGCCCAGCCCCAGGCTGGTGCGCACGGGCCCCATGAGTACACCAGGAGTTCCCTTGGTTTTTCTTCCGATGCCCTGTTCACATAAAGTGACAATCCGCCATTGCTACCTTGACTTTTGAGTCCGTGAACTTTAGCTTGTGCCTCTGCCAGTCAAGGGTCCTGCTGGAAGCTATCTGGGGAAGAGTGGCAGGGGTCATTCCTGCTTGGAAATGGTAGGAAGCACAGCTCAGAGCAGACAGGCGGGTGGGCATGGCAGCCTTTGGGGTCTGACCTCCAACTCAGAACCGTTACTTTCTACTAAACAGTCACTTCTGGCATCTTCCTCCCTGTCTGGGCCCCTGGACCACAGGAGATTCCCATATGCTTCGCTGTCCCTTAAGAGAGCAAAAACAAATTCTCCCCTTTGGAGCCCAGCCACTAAACTCGTGATTTGTTGGTATCCTTTGGGTGCTGCTAAGAAGAGACAAAAAACCCAAAAGATTAGGAAACTGGGAAAAAAAACGAAGTAAATAGAAGATAACAATATTAGCATCCCAGGAGAGCATGGCCCTGGCATGGAAGCAGTGCCCTGAATGTGACTTTGGGAATGGAGGGGAAGGAGGAGGTCCCTCTCAAGGTCCATTTGGGAGCCTGAGATAGAATGCAGGAGGCCCCAGCTTTCAGTGGGCTGCATTCCAGAAGTTTGAGTCACTTGTTTGGAACTAATGTGCCTTTTTAAAAGGTGCCTGGGTTCCCAGACCCACTTGCCCAAGTTTTCCTTAAGTCACAGAGTCCCTGCATTCAGTATTTCTGAATGTGGTGGACACTAAGCCCCAGGTGGCTGTGTGCGCTGTGGGGAGAACACCGGATATATCTCTCCTCCAGCTGTGTAATGAAGCAACACCCACCTGCCCTCTGCTCCTGCGGGCCCATGTTACCTCCTGGGATCAAGGGTAGGATGGGACGGAGATGTGAGAATGGGGCAGCCGGATCCCCAACTAGGGTAACCCCAGGAATGTTCTCCAGACCCCAGCACCACCGTGCTTTTCTTTCTCTTGCCTAAAGACTCCCCTTTTCTTTTTCTTTGCCCGTCACCTGTTGGATCCAGCCAGTGACTCCCTCCTGGGCCGGTGGGGGGCGGTGAATTGGGTTCCAGCAGGCACTGGGTCTGGGGGCTTTGGGAATGCTCCTGTTGCTGCTGCCACCGGCAGCACTAAGAAGCATTTTCACTGTCGATGGCTTCCTCCTCTGCACCCTTCGTGCTCTCAAACCCATACTCCTCTAGTGGGGGGTAGGGGATAGACAGGGACAGGGAGACCTCAGGGTAGCCTGAAATGTCAGCGGCAAGACATCCAGCCTGCCCTGGGCTCTTCTCCTAGGAGGCGGGAAGGTTGGGGTTCTGACCAGAAAAGTAGGTCGAGCCGGGCTGTCAGACGGGGTGTGGGATTGGGGTGTTGTTGGGGTTTCACTTATTAGTGGATGAGTGAAGATTACTGAGCAATAGTATGGGCCTTGCTGCCTGTGGGGTCTGGGGATAATGGGAATCAGACAATCCCAGTCCGAGGCTGGGGGGTGTAGGGGAGCTGGGCTGGGGGGAGCAAGCTGCAGCTAGTGGGGTCTCCGCACATCCCTCCCCTTGCCTGGGTCCTGGCACCACCCTCCTCTTATGGCACAACTTGCCCTCTACTGCCCCAAACTGCCCCTTAGGGTGATGTGGTGGAGCAGGATGGGGTCCAGGGCAGGGCTAGGCAGCAGCTGATGGGGGAAGGGGGGGTGGGCAGAAAACGCAGCTAAGGTGGTAGGGAGCATTCCTGAGGCCAGTGGCAATTCCCAAGACCCTCAATGTGCCCACACAACCTGTTCCCTTCTGGCGGGGTTGTTAAAGAGTCTGTGACCGGTTAGGGGCAAGGAACAATATTTGAAAACTATTTCATAGCAGAAAGGCTGTTTGGGAGCAAAATTTTCTCTTGGAATTAATAGCCTGTTAAGACCTTTATTTACAAATGGGAACACGATATGCCGGGGATGTGTAATTCCTTCACATGTACACATCACACAGCATTCACCCCATGGATGGACATTCCGCTCCGGGGGGGCTGGAGGCAGCTATAGGAGGGATATTGTGTGAGAGGGCTGATGCTTCCAGACTCCTTCATCCACAGGCTGGAGTTTAGGGTTCTATATACATCATCCCATTTGATTCTGGATGTTACTGGCTCCATTTTACAGATGAGGAAACTGAGGCTCAGGGAGGTTGAGAGTTAGTGGAGGGGCTGGATAACGGGGGAGGGGTCCCTGCTGAGTGAGAAGGGGGGATGATGGGGAGAGGGGGCAGGACATATCCAGAGGCTTCCCTGAGATCCTCTCTTCCTCTGGAATGCAGGCTTCTGAGCCTCTTCCTGCTTCTCTGGCTGCCCCGAAATGCGTTCGCTGAGTGGTGTTGAAGAAAGGTACCAAGAGGTGGGAGGCCCTAAAATATCACAGCAGGCACCCCCCTGTCTCCCCCTGGGAATTGGATACAAGGAAGGGAGAGGCCATGACGGACTCTTCCTGGTGGGGACATGGTGGGTATGTGTGAGATGAAATGTGATGAATTGGGGCAGGAGGACAGCAGGCTGGGGGGCTCTGAGCAACCAGAGGCATCAGGGTGAGAGAGGCAGGTGTGCAGGAAACGGGCGGGGAGGCAAAGCCACCGTCCCAGAGTGGGACAGAAGGGTCATCCCTCTGCGCCGTGTGCGCAGCTGGGCATGTTTTAGGAACCAGAATACTAAGGAAAGGTGTAGAAGGGATGGGGAGGCATCAAATCCAGCTGTGGAAGAACAGTGCATTACTGAACATGGAAACAACTTTGCAGAAAATCACCCCCTCAATCCCATCCCGGTTGTGTGTGTGTGTGTGTGTGTGTGTGTGTGTGTGTGTGTGTGGCCTTTTCTGATCCTCCTGTATGTGAGAACAGCTTTTCTAGTATGTCCTTGTCGTGCATATGCAGTGGGTCCTTTCACCATGTTACCTCACTCATGTTTGGCCATGAATATCGGATCCCTCATGTTTATTTTAAATTGGCACTTTATCATTAGCTGGTTTTCCTGGAGAGTAAACTAAAGCCTGGGGCTGGGCCAGTAGTGGAGGACTGGGTAGCAGTGCCAGTCGGACCCCAACATCCATGCCCGGGTCTCCCCTTGCCCCGCCCCCAGGCTTGCTTTGTAAACTCCAGGATGCACACACACGTACGCCCCTGGACTTGGTCTGCCCAACAGCCCTGGTGAATGCTTCTAGAGGTGGACTTCCTAGGACTCCAAGGTCATTCTTGTTCTCCAGTTCCTTCACGTTTGTACGCTAAACCCCCTAGGGTGTTCCAACCCTGAATACATATTCAGACCTTCCCTCCCTGGCCCCGCCTCCACTGTGTCCTCTTGATAGGCACTTTTTTTTTTTTTTTTTTTTTTTTTTTTTTGAGACTGAGCATGGTGAATGTGGTGAATGAATAAGCACAAGGGAGGAGCAGAGAGGTAAGGGGAGAGAGAATCTTAAGCAGGCTCCACGCTCCGTGCTGAGCCCCACGCGGGGCTCAAGCCTGCAACCCTGGGATCGTGACCTGAGCTGAAATCAAGAGTTGGACATTTAACCAACTGAGCTACCCAGGCACCCCGTTGATATGCACTCTTGATGATAGGCTTCTGTGGGTGTAATCCTGACCAACGCTCAGCTGTGTGTGCTCAGGGGGAACACCCACGTGCAAGGCCAGGCCCACTGAATATGGAGTATAGACAGGATGCCCTCATTCACTGAACTCTTGCTGTGTTTCCGGTAAGTAGCTCCCAGCAGGAGGTAGATATTGTTTTCATT